ACCACTGTACAGCCAGTGGCAAACTTGTAATTTTTGTGAAAATCACAGATTCTCTTAAATGAGCTTTTATGCATTTTATGAGCATCGAGTCTGTTCTTTTGAGTATTAGGAGCCTAACAGCGAACATCAGTGATCTCTGCTTCATACCTTATATATCACTTTCTGTTTATTATTTTTTTGTTTATTAAAAAGTCTTAAGTTATGTCTATAATCAATTTTAATTAATTTCAATATGTGAATCTAATGTAGTATGATATGTTTGAAATGTGCAACCTTTAAAAATGGGCATAAAACAATACCAAATGAGCACACATAACTTACAAAATGAGTATTAAAAAAATCAAAAATGTATTTGTGTGTGCTCATTTATTTTGGACGTGATGCTCATTTGAATTTAACATAAAACTCATTTATAATGTAGTACAATATGTTTGAAATGTGCAACCTTTTAAAATGAGCATAAAACGATTCCAAATGAGCATACATAACTTACAAAATGAGTATTCAAAAATATAATTCAAAAGCTCATTTGTGTATGCTCATTCATTTTGGGCGCGACGCTCATTTGAGCTTAACATAAAAACTCATTTCTTATGTGTTCAATATTCATCTGTGTATATTCATTCCTTTTAGGCACTAACTATACTCATTTGACTTTAATATTAAACTCATTTAGATACAATATGACAGATCCACAAAGAGCTTGCAACTCCTTTCCCTTCTTCTTTCTATAAGTCAGCGCGGAAACAGGGGGCAAGAAGAATCTGAATCTCAAGTCAAAAGTGAAGCCATATTTCGCTGCACCAATCAATCAGAGTATGTGGTGGCTTGAGCTGCTTCACGAGTTGGAGACATGGGCAGTCGATTTCCGTCTTCGTCGATGTCCTTCTTCCTCTTCGCAGATGAATTGCAGCACAGATTAATTACAAAAAACCCTGGTTGTACCGTGCGTACGGTACAGCCGGCTGTACCATGTAATTTACGATTTCCTACAGGGTTAATTTATTGTCTCTCGGGCTGACTCTCAAAACGGTTGCCCGACTTGACTCGAGCTATGGAGTCAAAGTAGAGTATTTTAATAGTATTTTAAAAATAGCTATGAAGCTATTTTTGTTATATCACAAATAAATAATCTTACCATGCAATTTTGGACGGGATTTTCACTACAGATCATCCGGAAACAGTCTCTCTGTGCTTTAGTTGTAACACCGTCCCCAATTATATTTACCTTTATGTAAATAATGTATTGAACCTTATGAAATGGTTAATGAATTTACGGGGTTGTAAATTTTGTTGTTAATTTTGCGTGAATAGTAAATTGCACGTGGGACCCACATCAGGAGCGGGGACGACCCTATATTTCTGAAACCACATATTATATTCATCTCGGGCTAGATAATATGTATATGGTGGTGGATATCTTATTTGGGCCATAGAAAGGGCATAGGGTTGACCGGTTGGTCAAACAAGGCCCAATTGCCGGTATTGGTAATTTATCGGATAACAGCCCGAAGTGGGTTTCGGATACCTCTATATTAAAGTTGAGGAATGTATATTCCTTCTAAGGACCCATATGGGTTGAGAACGTGTGATATATTTTATTTGGCCCGATAAAATAAAATATAATTACAACAGTCCGAGAAATACAACTTTCGGGGGCGATTGTACAGTTCGAGACTTATTGGGATGACCTCCCACATGAGTGGGGGACACCCCACGAATTTGTCAAAAAAGGGGAGCTTGATTTAGTTCCCAGGAGTGGCTGAGCACATTTGAAAGGATTGGGGAGACCGTCTTGACATCCAAGGGGCCCCTCTCATACTCATTTGGTCTATGAGACAAAAAGGAAACCCCTCCCCCTTTCCTGATTATTGTACCTCGACTAAACCACCAAAAGAGGAGGAAGAAGCTCTGTAAACTCCATCTCCATTGTTGCAAGTCGAGCACAAGCAAGGTTGGTCCAAGGAGGAAGTTAAAGAAGGGAAAAAGTTAGGAAAAGTGTGAAGGATTAAGGTAATAACCTTATAATAACTTTTCCTCTACTTTTTATTTATCATATGGCTTATATAGCATATGGAGGACCCCTAGGATTGTTCTACATATTTAGGAGTTTAGAATGAGGGGTTGGAAGGTAGTTCTAAGTCCAAGAACGGACTTAGAAGCCAAAGTGACCGGTTCGCCGGAAAATAACCTTTTAGAGGTTATTTGTTTTCATATGGGTTTTATGATGATAAAACCTTGTAAGGAACTTGTCTAAGGTGTTCCTAGAGCTTTCACGGAGTTGAAAGAGTCGCCGGAGTAATCATCGGAGCTAGACAAAGTTCGTCGAAGTTTCGCCGGAGCTCAACCGAGAAGGGTAGAACTTCTTAAAGCTTATTCGAGGTGAGTGGATGACTTAATGTCTTGTAACTCTTGTGTTAATTATAAGATTGCCTAAAGAAATGTTATAAGTATTCATAATCATGTTTAAAGGAACTTAAGCATCTGATTAGTCAAAGTTATTTGGCTTATGTGAATGATATTACATGATTTTGCATGTGAAAAGTATAAAATGTGTATAAAAACAGATGTGATGTTTTGGATATTTAAAAGGGATATTTGAGTTGTTTAAGACCCAATACATGTTGTATAAAAGTTTCGGATCGATCGGAGATCATCCGGGGGGTCAACGGACCGCCGCCGTGGGGCAGACGGTGACCCGGCGCCGGCCATAGGACCGAACCGGCTCCGATTAAGCCACTGCCTAGCCGGTCTGGGAATTTTTACACAGACCCGGCGCCGGGTATAGGGGTAACCGGCGCCGGGTAAGCTGCTGCCCCGATTTTTGTCTTCGCCGAAAATGCGTATAGAGGTCTGGTTTGAGGGGGGGATCAAACCCGACCATCCTATGTAAGTATATTGTGCATGGAATTGCATGGATTATGATGTTTAAATGTCAAGTTTGATATCTAATAATTAAGCTCTAACTCTTGGTTTAGTCTTGATAAATAGTTATGATGTAGGCTCTATCTAGATTGATATGAGGTAGGTCATGGGGATACATATGGTGGAGGACCCAAGGACTTTAATGTCCTTAAAACTTATATGCATACAGTGGAGAACCCAAGGACTAAAGAGTCCTCAAAACTCGGAATATATATTTCGGTGGAGAACCCAAGGACTAAAGAGTCCTAAACACTTATATGCATATGGTGGAGAACCCAGGGACTTAAGAGTCCTCAAAACTCATATGTACATCGGTGGAGGACCAAAGGACTATAATGTCCTCAAAACTCATAGGTAAAACGATGGAGGACCCAAGGGCTAAAGAGTCCTCAAAACTCATGGTGGAGGACCCAAGGACTATAACGTCCTCAAAACTCATGGTGGAGGACCCAAGGACTATAATGTCCTCAAAACTCATGGTGGAGGATCCAAGGACTTTAATGTCCTCAAAACTCATATATAAAAATGGTGAAGAACCAAGGACGACGGTACTGTCCTCAAAACTCAGAATATGAATTGATTAGGACCAGGAGGAGTCCTATACACTCATAGGTATATGGGTGGGTTGGGATTTGAATCAAGGATATTGACTACTACTATTTTCCCAAATAAAAATGACCTATGGGTCGAGTATTTCCAAGTATATATATATATATATATATACTGATACGTATTTCATAACTTGGAGGAAGGTACTATACGTGTATGTATCACCCTATGTTTGGGTCTTATACTTGAAACGTTATTTACCTTACATTTAGCTTGTTACTCGCTCGGTATTTGTACTGATCCCTTCGGGGGCCCCACCATTTTCAGGTTGAAGCTAGGGTTTGCTACCTGCACCTTCTTACGGGTGAAGTCATTCGAGGAAGACGTGGTTCGTGCTTCCTTAATTCGTTTCAAACTACCAAACACTTGCTCATGTATATTTGATTTACTATAAACTATTTTGGGCCTGTGAGTCCATGTTTTGGCCGGTTGTGGCCCATGCTTTACCGTTGAATATTTCCGCTATTCATTGGTTTAAATATGATGTTGATATGTATGTTTACTACTGTGTATGGATGGATTATGTTCATGGACGCCTTGTATGATCACGTCACGTTGACTTGCGAGTGACGTCACTTGGTCATATGTTGGTTGTACACGCGCTTAGATGCGGTCTGGGGCGTGACATTAGTACAGGGGTAAGACTGCGTACATCCGACCCCCCTTACCTCACCGTAGGTGGGAGTCTTTGCGGCACTGGGGTAAATGAAAATGAATGAAATGACTACCTTCATTTTTTAGTTGCAACATTGATGAATTTTGACGTATTCACATATTCTACTTTGACTATATATTATTTAGTAATGTATTACTCTGTGTACTTTAACTTTTTGAAAAGCATTACTTCGTATTAAATTTCTCTCTTTTTAAATTTTAAAAATCTGATTTTTTATTTTTTTAATAACAAGGAATGAGGTCAAACTTGTGCATTAACAAAAGTGAAAAGCAGACTGATGCAATTAAAAAGGATGAAGGAAGTAGATCATGTATATTTTAAGATAATGACAATGTGTTGGTCGTATTTGAGTAATCTCCCTAAGATAAATTAAATTAGACATAGACATACTAGATTAAGAGCATCTCCAATGCTACAATGTGCACGGTGTACATGTGGAATGAGAGAGATAGACACAAATGATTAAATTTTTGGCGTTTCTCTCTCCTTCTTTCCACGGTCTTATATGTTTTTGATAAGTTTTTCTCTACAATGTCAAGCACAATGTCTAGATGTAGACATTGTGGTTGACATTGTTAAGAAAAACTTACCAAAAACATATACGACCGTGGAAAGAAGGAGATAAATATTCTATTTGTTATTTTTTAATTGGCTATTTCTCATGCCATACCTAATTCACATTTTTGAATCGGAGAAGTACAATCGTATATTGAAATCAATGTAAATGAGAAATTACAGGGCACTCTAGCAGGGCTTTATTAATAGGTTCGAACCGTCTCACACTCTATTACAAGTCATTCACACCTCGGAAAAAGATAGTGTCACGTTAAGTGGATGGGAAGATCCATCAAATATAGACAGTTATAAATTAAAACAGATTTGGAGAATCTGGAAATTTCCTTAAATGCATTCCTTTCCTTTCCCGCCTCCAAAAATGTTTCCCACGTTCTTATATATTTCCACTACTTGAACGCTTTCATCTCAACAGAAGGAAAAAGATTTTATTAGTACACAAGTTAAAAAACATGTCGTCATATTATCCTAAGTTGATTCTCTTCCTATGGCGGCTAATGGTTTTTCTGGCCGTGGACTGCGGCGGTGCTTCCACTAAAACAGCCAGACTAGCGGAGTTTTACGATAACTACACGACGGTGCGGGTCGATCCAGCGGGGCGTGGGGATTTCCGAACGATCCAGTCCGCCATTGATGCAGTGCCGCCGGCTAACAAAGATTGGATCTGCATTTACGTCAAAGCAGGCACTTACATGTTCGGTACCATTTTTTGTCATTTTTTTTTCACATTTAACTCAAGCCGAAAACGGACCAGATTGTTCAAGCTTTGATTTATGAATTGAGTCTTACGTGTTTCTAATTAGATGGTTGGAAATGGAAGTGCCATAAGGTCCATAAATACGAACCAAGACGTATCAGAACAAAAAATAACTCAATTGACACAAATCTTTGGAAGGAATACATCAAATTCGTGTCAAATTCCATGTCGAGCTAGTGATGTCATGTTTTTAGTATAGTAATTTGAACTTTATTTGTTTTAAAATGTTCAATCGAGTCCATGATTAATGTAAATCATTTTCTTGACTTAATCAGTTGAAGCTTTTATGGAAAAACAATATTCTGTAGAAAATTTGCTAATCCTGGCCTATTACCTTTTGTGGAAATGTGAAGTATTAGCGTTGCCTATAATAGATATTTTGCTTCTATGTATATACGAACGTTTTAGATTTGAAGTATAATTGAGATTGAGATGTTATTGTATGTTCTCGGATCACGCTAATAACTCCTCCTACACCACGATGGCACGATGGAACCTCGCTTAAGCCAGTAAGTATAACCGTCCTAATAGTGGCGGAGACATAGATCCAGAGTGGCTCGTGAGTCGTGAGTCGGGAGGTCTTAACCAGTCGAAGAAAAAAGTCTTGGCCTATAAAATGAAAAATATAGGTGCAAAAAAAGTCTTAACGCATAAAATGAAAAATATTTACGTTTGCACTTTTCTGTTACCCGCACGTCTTTACCCTTACAAAATTTGTCATTTTTACAAATGTGAAAAAGTGCACCGCAACGACGCAAAAGTGAATATTTCGCATTTTACACCTTAACGATCTCTTTTATTGGGATCGAATAAAAGAGTGTTTAATGTGTAAAATCATTCATACTCACATTTACCTATGTTCCTTGCATTTTATGTGCAATGTAATGTATTTGTATGTTTTGCCAAAAAAGTCACTCATTTACAAACATGTTGATTTTTTTTGAAGGATAAAATCCAAACTTTATTAATTAATCAAACCAATAGTTCGTAGTTACAATCAGCCAATAACTCAAACTCCAACTCTCTTCTAAGAAATCCTAAGAAATCCTACGATCAGATTATGAGACGGCCAACTCCAAACGAGCAACATAGAGTTCTTCTTGACCCTTAAAGTCATCGTACTCTTTACTACATCAACAAACTCAAAATAACTGAAAAGTCGCTTCAGTCCCTGTTCAGACATAGAACTGTTCATCCAGAACAGAGCGAAACTTTTTGTTGAACATATGAGAGCTTCGAGACAAATAACGGTCATAAGCACCTCAAAAAACATCACTAACACAAATAATCCAAAAATAAAGTAAAAAATCTAAAGAAACACAAATTGAGTTGAAAATGAATATAGTGCAATAAACCGTGTGCGACCAAAACCAAAGTTGAAGTGGTGTCTTCCAAACCCTAGCCACATGATCCCTCCATGGCGGTGGATCGATAATACTGCATCTTCTTCATCATCATGCTTCTTGTTTATCACATTTTCTGCCATGGCTTCACTTTCGACACCAAAAGCATTACACCATATACCAATCACATGGTGATATTTTTTATATTTGTTTGTACTAATTATTTTGATTTGGGTATCTGTTGCGCCGATGCATGGATGGGTAAATATAGAGAGCAGGTCACAATTCCTCCGGAGAAGTCCTTCATTTACCTCAAGGGAGAAGGGAAAAGGAAAACAAATGTGATGTGGGACTCTCATGACACCATTCAAAGTGCTACTTTTTCAACCTATGCAGACAATATCATTGTCAAAAGCATGACATTCATAGTAAGATTTCATCCGTCCATATTTTGAATTTAAAACTCGCAATGTTTATCATCTTTGATCATTGCTATTTGCAATTATATATATACTCCGTATTATTTTATGAAGACCATAGTGTACTTTACGTTAATCCAATACTGAAAATATTGTTCAAAGTATCTCTATGTTATAATTTCATATTAATTAGGCATAATTATTGATGCTCGAAGTAACAAAACTTCACTACAAAGTCAAAATTAAACTTATTTAAACAAGAACGTTACGCACAATGAATGGAATACTCTATCAACATTAAGAACTTTTGGTATTTTTAATTGGGAATTTCTACTTTACCTTTATTAATATAAGAGCTGAGGCACCGGTACTTGAGTTTTGTAAACCAATCAAATGTCACATCACCATTCTATATTAATGTAGCTACTCATATGTATGGGGTATAATTCACTATTACGTTAAATGTATCGGTACACTTCTAATTGATCATGAAGGTACGGTAGAAGGATCCTTTTTAATTTTAGTCAACAGGTAGTCAACATAGAGAACTACTAAAGATCAGAGTTATTTAGTGTTTATTGTATTTCAATATAATAATTCAATTAATAATAAACAGAACTCATATAACTTCCCGCCGGAAAACACCACGCATCCAAGGAAGGTGGCTGTGGCGGCTTTGGTGATGGGTGACAACACGGCGTTTTATAGGTGTGGTTTTAAAGGGTGGCAAGATACCCTATGGGATGTTCAAGGCCATCACTATTTCAAGCTTTGCACCATTAACGGAGCAGTTGACTTCATCTTTGGTAATGCTAAATCTATTTTCGAGGTAATTATTCATATTCACCACCTCCCATTTAACTTTGTTACATGAGTTAGTATGATTTTATTAAGAAAAGTAAGTTATGTATTATAATATTGAATTGATAAAGTAATAATAATAATGATTTAGTACCAATGAAATTAAAATATTTGATGAGACAACATTTATAGGACGAACGAGAAACTCAAAGATGAGATAATCTTAGGCTCTTAGCTTGCTGAACCACATTATAATGTAGCTTTTGTGTTTCAAACCATTTCGTTATCTTTTAAGGAAATTCAGCCAAAAAAAAAATTATACTATCGTAATTCTTACGACTTGTTTTTATTTAAAAAGTAATGTTTTCCCTTCTTCAGTTCCCCATATGTCGTGTATATATAACCATGCATGTTCAGAAACAAATGAAAATGAAAATATTGTTCAGTCAAATACGTGGAAAGTGTATTCCAAATTGGAAATATTGTGCAATTAAGTCAAATATTTGGTTACAAAGACTATGTATGTAGTGTTTATATTAAGGCATGCATATAATATCATATATACATAGTACTTTTATTAATTAGTTTATAAGGTTATCAATTATAGATTCATAAAGTTATCTATGGAAATTGGAAATGTTATATGAATTGAACTCATGTTTCTATAGCTAGGCATGAAAGTGAGTAGGGTGGAGAGAGTCACTGTTATAATGTGGTGGATATAGTTCTATGTTTTTTTAGATAGCTGAAAAATTGTCCAAAGATATGATTTGGCACAAAAAAGAAGTTGTTTTGGCATGGTTTTATATGTTTTTTTTTTGGTTTTATATGTTATATATTGCTTGAACTGTGTGGATGCAGAAATGTTCTATAGCAGTGAATGCAGAAAGGCTAGAATCAGGACTAGTGGGCTACATCACAGCACAGGGAAGGGATAATCCTGAAGATGAGAGCGCATTTGTTTTCAAGGAGTGTCGTGTGTTTGGAACTGGAAAAGCCTTCTTGGGAAGGCCATGGAGGGCCTATGCAAGAGTCATTTTCTACAACACTTTTATGGAAAATATCATTGTTCCTGAAGGATGGACCAATTCCCTTGGTTTCAATGTCAAGTCAGTTCCCCATCTTCCCTTTTTATTTATCCCCTTACCCTTTTTTTTGCTTGATTATCATCTCTCAAAGTTTCCAATTTTTGCTTTTAGAAGAATTTTATAACACTAAATAAATTGGTCGAATATGATGAAATTGTTTTCATTGAATCTGTTGCATCATTAAAAGAGGCAGCTCAGTGAAGGGTCCCGCCTCAAGGGTGGGCAAACCCTTCAATTCTATTCAAATTTGACGAGAGACCGCTCACTAGATTTGAACCTATAAAACATCTCGATCACATAACAACACCTTAACCAATAAAAAATATGTAGTACATGTTTTTTTAACTAGGAAGAATATTATTTTTTCACAAAATAAAACTCATCTACTCGTAAAGTACAAGTTGTAACTACTTATATCGTTTTTAGGACTAAATAAACGACTCATATTTTAGGACAAAATATAAATACTTCTACTTGTGCATTTCACTCATGTCGTACTGCAACTTAAGACCATTTTTTCATATTTTATTTGTAAAATGAAGTACATAAAAATTACTTCTTTCACAAATTCAGCCAGAAAAGAGAAATAAAAAACGTTTGGTAGTGGCTAATAATTCAAAAAATGATCTACTAAACAAGACTTATAAAAGTTGTACGTAGTATCATATAATAAATTCCTTAATAAATTTTGTATTAATTTTTTGTGTTCATAATTTGATAATAATTTTAAAAGAGAATATAAAGCATAATGTAGAAAATGATACCAATGTACCTTCACTAAAGAATTTAGAGATCCTTCCTAAAACATTATTAAAAAACTTTTGAACGAAAATGTGAGTAAAGGGATGATATATACGTTTATATAATCACTATATAATGAAAGATTTGATCATAATTATAATAACTATAAGTTTTAAATTACATTTTGTCCCCCATCCACACTTTGGTTATGTATTGGATATTATTTCTAAGGAATTTATATATAATATGTTTTGGAATTGTTTGACCTCAGTTTGGATAAGTTGACCTTTGAGGAGCATGGGTGTAGTGGACCCGGGTCAGACAAGTCAAAACGAGTTGAGTGGATTGCCAAAATGAGCGCGGAAGAATTACTGAGTTTCACAAGTTTATCATTCATCAACAATCAGGGATGGCTTTACAGGCAACCCCTAAGCAGGCTCTTGGAGTGATATTTTATTGATTAATAGACTTTAATATAGAGTCCACAGTACGTCCTTTGTCTAAATTTGTTGTAGACTCTAGATATATACTTTCTCTACTACATTCTTTAATTTTCTGTATAATTTCGGGGGGAAATATACATATTTTTGTATTTAGAAGCTCTTGGTGTTATTGTCACACACTATTTGTGGTATGATCGTCAACGGGTTGGGCTGAGCCACAACAAACCAAAACTAATGAGTATGAGTTGGGCCAGGTTGGGCTATTAACAGTCACATTTTTACGAAATACAACCACAATATTTTTTCAAATCCGATTAATTATGTACGAGAATATGGTGCAGTGCACATAATTGGATTTGAAAAAAATGATTGACTAAGGGAAGGTGATTGATAATGGCGGTGGAGATGCCGAGAGGGTTATTATGTATACATATGAGGTTTATTTGAGGCTGGGTTGTGTTGGGCTGGCCAGGCCTATTTGTTTTGTTAAGGAGCAATGGGTTGGGTTGAGGAGGTTTCTCCCTATTATATCTACTAATTATGCTACTTATTTATTTACCTTTCATTATGGTTGAAAAATGAAATGTGAGGTCAAATCATGAACATTGCCTCAACATGCATAAGCAAACGTATTACACACACAATGAATTAAAAAATTACAAAGTGAATGGATTAAAATGTAAATAGAGAGGTGTTCGTGGGCCTTTCCTCCTGTAAAGGAACAAAACAAAACAGTAACCATATTTAGACATGTGCTCGGATATGACAACACACTGCACTTCAATGTGTATAATAAATATAAAATCAAAAGAAATCTTCATGGAGGGTCCCCAATTGTTACTCTCAACAATGCCCTCAGCCAAGTTACCTAGCTCTTTCGCACTAAACACATCAGGGTTATAAATAGGCTCCTACGTATGGGGTTTTGCTCTCAAAAATCTTTTGCAATTCCAGTGTTCATATGTAAGTTCTTCTCACTCACAAGAACTTTTTTGTAACCATATGTTCACTCATTTCTTGCATATAAACAAATGTTTGTACTCATTTGTGTTTTGGCAGGGTGCAAAAATACAATACCTGTACAGGAAAAGACGTCCATTGAAGAAAGGCCATTTATACATGATTTGAAATCAAAATTCAAAAAATCCACTTTGATGTTCTTTTGTTGCCCAACAAATGTGTGTGCTTATTGATGTTTATATGTATGTGTATGGAAAGCTGGTGTGTGATATTGATAGAGTGTACTTATTAGGTGTATTGGTGTATATATGTATGCCAACATATACAGCTCATCTGTCAAAATTGAAAAACTGTAGTGAGACAATTTATGCATGTGTAACTTTAGAGATATACAGTTATGGGCAGTTGATTATAATGTCACTATATCAGTGAATTGTATGTGTAATTTCATGAAGAGGAGTGTACACATTACCATGGTCTATTACACGTAGTACATATGTAATGTTTAAAGCTTTATACATGCTCTTTGAAAATCATATTCATAGACCTGGAAGCAAAAGATAGATGGATAGTATAAATAAGATTTAGCTTAATAGGATCCAAATACATGGCTGCTCCAATACCTGCACCGAAAGCTAACCGATACATGTACTTTCCCTTACAGAAGTGAATGGATTGGTTTATATATTACATTAAACATGGCACCTTCCTATAGAAAGAAAGAGTGACTAAAGAACTATGTCTTCACAAAATAAAAACACGAGAATGGGGAGTCAAAGTTATATCGTGCTTGCTTTGATTGGCCCACCTATGATAAATATTTAGGGGTTCTTAAATCGGCTTTATTATTGGGGGTCTATTTTTCAGTTTTAGAGATTGTATATAGGGGAGCCTAAGTGTGATATATTACTTTCATTTTACTACTAAAATGTATAATTTCAGTATTAAATTAGATATCATTGTTCTTACTTCAAATATTTTGTGCTTGAGTATTTATCAACATGAAGCGGTTACATGTTGGAGGGAAATGCCACATTGGTATCACTTTACAAAAATGTGATTATAAAAAATTAGAATCATAAACCTTATTATACTACAAAACATCTGCAATTTCAAAACCTTATTGTACTTAAAACATTGAAGTTTTAATACAACTGCTGCCATTTCAAGTTTTCAATTTCTTGTTGAAAAGGAACACCAACCTGCAATATTCATATAGGCTTTACTTTAGGAAAAGCATAACATTGTACGAGAAGTGAGAATGAAGTAATGGTAAGAGTTTTTTATCGATAAATTGAGATGTAAAGTTACCATTAGAATAAAGTAAGTTCAAACTATCATTCTAAATATATCCCTTACATGTCGTATTAATCCTCTTTTTAGAAATCCTTCATTGATTTGCAGTTAATTGTTATCACTTTCTTAGCCTTGAAAGTACTCTGATCATATTCTTTCTAAAGTTCCCAAGTTTTCATCTTATTTATTTTATTGTATTCCTTCGCTGCAATTTTTAAATTGTTTAGATTCCATGTGAATGAATATGACAGTTTCATGTTTTTGTTTAATTTGTATAGCTCAGTTCAATCTTTCTGTTAGTTTATGTTTAATTCAATTTAACTGAATTCAACTATTCTTCAATTAAAGGTTCCAGTTACTTAATTTAGTATTGGCATACTTGTTTTTCTTAATAGGTAATTATCTATACTACATATTAATCTATAAAATACCCGATTTGAGTTAGTTTGGTGGTCATAAAGAATTAAGTCTTTAATTTTATTTAATGAGTAATGATTGGCGTTTTATGTAAGTCTACAATGATTTTATTCATGAGATTAAGAAAACCAAAAAAGAAGGACCAATCATAAACCCTTCTCGAGGTCAATCACACCTTTTACCTTGTGCAAGAGAAGAATAATTGTGGAACCCACATTTTCAAATCGAGCCACCATGACGCCAGAACAGTGTAAGGAACTCTTGGTAAACTTTCTCTCTTTTTCTGGTTGTACAAAAACTTGTTATCCTTTTCAATTATTCAGGGTAATCTATCTCTAAATGGTATATTATTTTTTATTGTAGGGTTGAAATGAAGGATCATGAGCACAAAACAAGGACAAAAGCGAAGACATAAATGATATTATGCTAGTCTATTCAAACCGAAATATGTCAGAAAACTTATTTTAGAGCATAAGATTGTATGAGGTATGTTCTTGTTTTTTATTATGATCATGGAGTATCAATGTGTAATCTGTATATTGGGAAAATGCAAAAATAGTTCTTGGCTATTATGACAGTACTCAATTTAGTCCCGAAGTTTGTACTTGAGCATATTTTATTCTCCACTTTCACGGGTTCCCAAGCTTAGCTGTATTTCGTTTTGGCCGTCCATCCTCTATTAAGTAAGCAGTAATGGATGCTTCTTTATTTCAGTTTATTAATTACCATTGCATATTGATTATAGTAGTGTGCAAGGCTCTATATCCGAATGTTGTTTGACAAATTCAATTTGCATCTTAGTTGCAAATCGTCAAACCAAAATTGTAATTTTTCTTGAAATGTGACATATTGGAACAAAGAATGGTCATGTGAAGAGACAATTTAATTAGGAAAAAATGTAATAACAAGAATGGGAACTCTATAATGCTGCCACATTGCCCTTTTATATGGTGTATTGCTTTATGTTTTAGGTTGCAATGCAGGATCATGAGGCACAAATTACAGATAAAATGTGAAGTGGAAAATGAGAAAGAAAATATTGATAAGGAAAGAGTGGTTGGATTCATATTCAATGACATCAAATGATGTGGATACAATTATGAGCACTCTGATGTGGAACATGAGAATGAAGACATTGCTAAGGCAAAAAAGTTGAAGAAATGAAGCTGCATGTCTTCTGTTTATTCGATTTGCGGGCTTGCGGCTAGTTAAAAGATATTTAGTAGCTATTAGAAGTATTCTATGATGTTTTGATTATTTTTTCGAATTGGGTAGTGTTAGGTTTTAGTTTATGATACATTCTTTGAGATGTATTCAAGATATTATTTTTAATACTTGTAATATTATACTATACATAGTATATTATACTATATGATGGAGTATATGGCCCGGGAACCCCCGGCCCACAGACTCCTACTACTCCAATAAAGGCCCAATAGGCCCAGGAAACACAACAGGCCCAAATCACGGCGCCCAAGATACCAAGCAGCCCTCAAATGCGCACCACGGGTGCCTTCGGCCCCTGGCCGAAGGCTCTAACTCTCACAGGAGGGCCAAGACAGCAGAACAAAGTTACTGGAAAAAACGGCGAAAATCAGTAGCCCTCGGCACCTGGAGCCCTCGGCACCAAAGGGGTCCCCGGTACTCAGAGCCCTCGGCTAGTCCTCTACAGCCGAGGGCACCTCTCCCGACATGATATCCGCGCCACATGCGTACAGATCACCGTACCCTGTACAACGTCCCATCCAACAGCCGCATTAAATGCGGCCACATGCGGTTGCCAGCGCCAACCAGTTGAGATGACCTCTCGGCCAATAGACGCTTGACACGTGTCCCTGTCTGGCATTTATTGCTACTATAAATAGCACCCCATTTCCCCATTTGTAACCAAGTCACAAGTCTCAATACACACGCTGCATACTTTCTAATATACTTTCTCTCTCTACTTACTTACTCTGACTTCTCTCTAGTTATTCCCCGCAATAACCCCTCAGATAAGCTACCCCCGGGTACATTATCCATCATTTTGGTGCTCTCGTTGAGAGGTCGAACAATTAAGTAAGAAACCCTCCCCCTCGACCAAACACAAAAACACCCCTCTAAAATGGTGAGAACAACTCGTGCCAACTCCAAGAATGTAGAGGACAGGAACCTGGCCCTCGGCGAGGTCGACGTCCCCGAAGCCTCTAACAGGGCTCCCGGGGGCGGCGTCATCGCCGGGTTGGACCAGACGGCTGTCGACCTACGCCAGCGGATTCAGCAAAATGCCCCCGATGCCCGCCTCGGCATCAAGGCCAAGAAGAAGGACCGGAGCGAAAATCAAATTAGCCCTCCGGTCATCACCATAGACGTACAATCGACGCTCTCCACCTTCATCCACACGCTCACCCAGAACCCGGGTGCCTTCGGCACTTTGGTTCCCCTCCAACCTCAGGTGGGGGAGAATATTATGCCTCC